GGCGGCGGTGGTGGTAGTTGTGCTGGTGGTGGTTTGTGGTGGTGGTGGTGTGGTGGTGGTTTGTCGTGGTGGTTGTGGTGGTGGCAGTGGTGGTGGTGGTGGGTTGTGGTGGTGGTGGTGACGGTCGTGGTGGTTATGGTGGTGGCGGGGATGGTGGTGGTTTGTTGTTATGGTGGTGGTTGTGGTGGTGGTGGGTGGTGGTGGTGGTGATGGCGGTGGTGTGGTGGTGCTGTTTGATGGTGGTAGTGGTAGGTTGTGGTGGTGGTGGTGGCGGTGGTGGTGGTGGCGGTGGCTTGTGGTGGTGGTGCTGGTGGTGGTGGCGGTGGTAGTGGTGTGGTAGTTTGTTGTGGTCGTGGTGGTTGTGGTGGTTTGTGGTAGTGGTAGTGTGGTGGTGGTTTGTGGTGGTGGTGGTGATGGGTTGTGGTGGTTTGTGGTTGTGGCGGTGGTGGTGGTGGTTGCGGTGTGGTGGTTTCTGGTGGTGGTGGTGGCAGTGGTGGTGTTAGTGGCGGTGGCTTGTGGTGGTGGTGCTGGTGGTGGTGGCGGTGGTGGTCGTGGTGGTTGTGGTGGTGGTTGGTGGTGGCGGTTGTGGGTTGTGCTGCTGGTAGTGGCGGTGGTGGTGGTTGTGGCGGTCGTGGTGGTGGTTGGTAGATTGTGGTGGTGATGGTGGTAGTGGTGGTGGGTTGTTGTGGTGGTGGGTTGTTGTGGTGGTGGTGGTGGTGAGTTGTTGTGGTGGTGGTGGTGGCGGTGGCTGTTGTGGAGGTGGTAGGTTGAGGTGGTGGTGTTGGTAGTGGTGGTTGTGGCGGTGGTGGTGGTGGCGTGGTGGTTGTGTGTGGTGGTGGTGTGGTGCTGGTGGGTGCTGGTGCTGGTGCTGTGCTGGGTGGGTGGTGGGGGTGGGTGGTGGGTGGTGGTGGTGGGTGGTGGGTGGTGGGTGGTGGGTGGTGGGTGGTGGGTGGTGGGTGGTGGGTGGTGGGTGGTGGGTGGTGGGTGGTGGGTGGTGGGTGGTGGGTGGTGGGTGGTGGGTGGTGGGTGGTGGGTGGTGGGTGGTGGGTGGTGGGTGGTGGGCGGTGGGTGGCGGGTGGCGGGCGGCGGTGGTGGCGGTGGTGGTGGTGGTGGCGGTGGTGGTGGCGGCGGTGGCGGTGGTGGCGGTGGTAGTGGTTGTGTGGTGGTTTGTGGTGGTGGTGGTGGTGGCGGGTTGTGGTGATGGTGATGGCGGTGGCGGTGGTGGTGATGGTGGTGGTAATTGTGTGGTGGTTTGTGGTGGTGGTGGTTGTGGTGGGTTGTGGTGGGTTGCGGTGGTGCTGGCGGTGGTGGAGTTTTTGGTGGTGGTGGTGTAAGGTTTTTTGGTGGTGGTGTTGGTAGTGGTGGTTGTGGTGGTGGTTGGTTGTGGTGGTTGTGGTGGTTGTGGTGGTGGTGGTGTCGGTGGTGGTGGTGGTGGTTGTACGGTGGTTTGTGGAAGTTGTGGTGGTGTGACCTTCGGCTCTTCCCGCAACGGTGTTTTGGCTTTGGGTCAGAGTAATGGATGCCTCTTGAGGTCTCGTCAGATGGGTCTCGGGGGCGTCTGAGGAGCATGTGCGAAGCTTCGTGGACCTTCCTAAGGGCCTCCCGGTGGCATTTGGGGAGCGAGGGCTCGATATGGTGATTTGTGCGTGTGTGTTCCCTCTGCGGCCTCTGGGCTCATCGTCGCTGCGTCCCCGCGTCGGCGCTGCTGGCCGCCGCCAGCGCCAGCGCCGGCGCTGGCGTGGGGGGGGGTTTGGACCCCCCCCCTCCCCCTGGGCCCTCTCTGGTCATCGTCGCTGCGTACCTGCCGTCGGCGGCGCTGCTGGCCGCCGCCAACGGCGGCGCCGCCGGCGCCGGGAGGGAGGGGAGGGTTGGAACCCCCCACCCCCTTGGGAGGCGGGGGGGGGTTCGAGACGGGTGGGTCTAGGAGGGAGGGGAGACCCCCTGGTTCTGATCGACGGCGCCGAGTGTTTGGGGGGGGCCACCCCCAGGTTCGAAACGAGCCGCCGAATGTTCCCAAGGCAAGCGCCCGTGAAACGCGCTCCCCAATACATACATAATTGCAGACATACATACGTGCATTCATGCATTTATGTATGTGTATATATATATACAAACATGTATGTAGATACACATACAGATATATACATCGATCTACACCTAGAGGACTGGCCAAGGGCCGATAAGGAGGTTGCGAGGGAGGTGGAACCAACAACTGGACAACCATCGGGAAAACCGTCTCCATCCATCGAACAGCCTCTTTTTGTTTCACTGTAAAGCGGCATCACTATACAGATGCACAACACTCACATATGCATATGAATGTATGTAAATGTGTACATGCTATACGGCATGGCATATATCGATGTACGTACATATATAATGTAAATGTGTATATATACATATCTGTATATCGGATGCCGACCGAGCTCACTAGCGAGATCAGCTCTCTCTATACATGTACAAATACATAACACATGTATGTACTCATTGATCGATCTACCGATCGCCTTCAGCATCTATCTGCCGATCCCACTACTGACCTGTCGATCCCATTGCCTCCCCGTCGGGACAACCGTCGGGACAACCAGCGCACTTGCTGCTGCACGTCTGCCCAGATCTCGAGGCGCCGAGGGCGCCGAGAGCGCTTGCTCGGCCGACGTCCACCCGGACAACGGCCGGGACAACCATCGGGAGAACCGTCGGGACAATCACTGGGACAGCCATCGGGTCAACCCAGCTCCCTGACGTGGCCCTTTCCATACGGGATAAGGGCCACGCCATCACGGCCCTTCTGTGTTCGAATCAAAGCATGTTATATTTTTGTCATCTCTGCTGCGGGTACAGCTGTGGCGGAAGATTCAAGAAGCTTAGTAAGTCTTGTATCCCAGAGCCCGAAGGGCCCAGGAAGTCAAAGTACGCGTCCTCGGTCTTGAGGGCGCTGCGGAGGGGGAGGCATCCCAGGCTGGCTGGCGTGACGTGTGAAGTGTTCGACCCTGCTGCTGAAGCGAGCGAATCTGAGGCTGGTGATCGGGCCGAGCCCGACTGGTCAGCTCAGGCCCGCAGGCCGTTTCGGGAGGAGGGTGAGCACGCCCCAGACCAGCAACCCCTTTCAGACAGCTCGGACTGACCTGCACCAGGCGGGTACACTAGTCCGAGTTTTTTCCTTAACTCAACCCGAGCTGGCTCGGGTTCAGGGCGCCTGTCAAAAAAAAAGGCCTTCGGGTCAACAATCGGGACCGCCATCGGGACAATGACAGGAACTGACATCGGGACAGTTTTCGGGACGACCATCGGGACAGCTCTCGCAGCAGCCATCGGGGCGCCATCGGGGCAGCCATGAGGGACAACCAGCGGGACAACCATCGGGACAACCATCGGGACAGCCATCGGGACAACCACAGGACAGCCACTTGACAGCCACGGGACAGCCACGGGACAACCACGGGACAACCACGGGACAATCGCGGGCCCGATCCGCCAGCCGGACGGGAGGGGAGGCGTTTGCTCGGATTTCGCCTTCGCAACAGTGGGATCACTCTTTTCGCCCGCCAACGCAGCTTCGCCTTGCCCGCACGCGCGAACACGAGACCGAAGCCGAATTCGCAGTGGGGGCCTCCATTTCACATCGATCTCGATCCCCCAACCCCCGACGTAGCAAAAACAAACGGGAATGGGCAGAGCAAGTTTTCACCCCGCATTGAACGTAGCGCCTTGTATCAGAACCTGGGTCGGATCACGAAAGATCTTCAGCCCAGTGCGGGTTCGATGTTGCGGGACTATACGGGGGGGGGCTCGACGCCGCCTACATCGAGCGTCACGTGTTTCTCCCAATAGGCTTGCCCTATAGGAGTCCTAGCCTAGTTCATCATCGGTAATTGGTCTTTAGCCCCCCCCCCCTTATGTCCAATGGCACCCCCCTCCCCCCCCCTTTCCCAAAGGCACTCCCCCTTATTTCCAATGGCACCCCCCAGCTGTTTCCAGTGGCGAGTCCTATGCTTGTTCTTGCTTGCTTGCACTTGATCGCTGGCTCTCGCTTGCTCGCTCTTGCTTGCTTGCCTGCGCTTGCTTGATTCGCCTGTCCTCTTTTCGTCCTCCTCCCATCCTCGTCTCGTCCTCCTCCTGTCCTCCTGTCGATTTGGAGTCAACGCTGGCTGATATTACGTTTTTGGCGTGCCGATGCAAGCCGTCCACATGTCGGTGCTTCGTCTTGCTGCTGCGAGCCCCCGCGCCCCGCTGGCAACGAGCGAGGGTCCCAGCAGGAGCGCCGCAGGAAGCGCCCACGCCCGGGTTTGCTGGAACCTCTGGAGGTTTCCCTCGGATGCAAGTCTGCGAATTTCCTCGGAGGAGATTTCGCGGTTTTCCTCAGTTTGGGTTTTTCCTCGGTTTGGGTGTTTCCTCGGTTTGGGTTTTTCCTCGGTTTGGGTTTTTCCTCGGTTTGGGTTTTTCCTCGGTTTGGGTTTTTCCTCGGTTTGGGTTTTTCCTCGGTTTGGGTTTTTCCTCGGTTTGGGTTTTTCCTCGGTTTGGGTTTTTCCTCGGTTTGGGTTTTTCCTCGGTTAGGGGGGGGTCTCTCCTCACCAACGCCACCCTCGCCCTCCGCGCCGATCCAGGAGGCGAGGGTGCTCGAGAAGCGACTTCCGTTGCGGCGCGTCTTTTCGGGATTTCCGTTGGCCGTGGCATCTCGGGGGGCTGGGGAGGAGGAGATTTGGAAGGAGCAGGTAGAGACACAGGGCGCAGGAAGGGGAGGGAGATGAGGGGGAAGTGGGGGCTGATGTGGAGTGGATGGGACAGGAGGAGGCGGTGGCTGTCTGGCCAGCCCAGCTCGATCGCGTGGCGAGACGGGTCAGGAGACCGCAGATGTTGTAGTCATTGGTTTCTCGAGTCTCCCTCTTCATCGTCCTCTTCCCTTCAAGGCGAGTGATCTGCTTGATTTTGCATGTGATCGTGCGTACTCGCGTCTTGTAGAATCTCAACATTGGCAGGGTGGCCAGTCCGATGCTAAGGTGGGCATGCTCGCGACGGCGGCATGCTATTCAGCGCGCACCGCGAGCTTCGCTGCGCCTCCTGCAAAGACGAAGCGGCCACCGACGTCTTACAATCTGTGGATGGCTGACTACATACCGACTTTGACGAAGAAACTCGGCACCACAAACTTTAGCATTGTAAGCAAAGAGGCTGGCAAGCAGTGGAGAGCGCTTGAAGCAGCGAAGAAGAAGAAATACATCGACCGAGCAGGAGAGTTAAAAGCAAAGTACGAGGCTCAGATTCAGAACATGGACCAAGCCAGAAGTGTGATTGATAAGGCGCCAGACAAGAAGGCAAGCAAAACTCAAGCACCTGAAAAAAACACCAAGGTTGGTGTCAGCTCAAGTAAGGTCGGCATGAAGAAGGCTGTACAGGTCAGTTCAATCCGCCAGCTGCTACTAGGCACGACCAATGCGGATAGTGCGGCCAGTGTGGTCACGAGCGCAACACCCAAGGAGACCAAGAAGAAGGTGAAGGTTGCGAAGGACTCCAAAGGACCAAAGAAGCCTTTGGGCGCCTACAACATATGGCTCCGGGGTGCCCGCTCGAAGATCGTGGCGTCGCTCCCTGTAGAAGACCGGAAGAATTCGGCATTGGTCAACAAGGTTGCTGGTACACGATGGAGGGGCTTGTCTGAACGTTCCAAGAAGAGATACCACGAGAGAAGTGAAGCAGCCGCTGAGGAGTACAAGACGGCACTGGCGAAGTACAAGGCCAAGGAGACATAGCGTTGGGGCACCGCGGTGACCACCAGAATCAGGCTGACGCTACGTGCGAGCCAGGCGGGGCAAATGAAGGTTGCATTGCATGGGAATGTTTAAAACGACGACTGCGCATCGTACATAGCTGCTTGGCAACGGATGACCCAGTTTTTTATCCATCTTCTTTCTGTTTGATGTCAATTAGACAATGCCGGTGCCAGTGTGCCGAATTGGTACATTTTCCGCCAGTGGCGCCAAGAGTGTCATCATCGTTGTTACAATCGTCGTGGTGATCGTCATTACCGTCGTCGGCCTGCATCTTTTGCATTTCCAGTAGAGGGGAACAATTGATGGACATTCCCCCGCTCCAGCAATTCGAAGATGGCACGCGCGGGGAAGATTATGGTCGAATTGCAACTCATCAGAGCCACCGCGAATTGGCATGAGTGGTCGCTATGTTCTACCGGTGCTTGTCTTGCTAGACAAGTGGGCCACGCATGCAGACCAACGGAGACGCGGATGTCACGGGTTTGATTGATGAGGCCCGCTATCCGTCGAACGGAATTGAGGCTTGCCCGGGCAATCTCGAGCCAAGGGCGCGTACCACCAGTGGCCCCAGAACGCGCCAGAGTCGTGACAGGAGGGACAGTCTCGGGCTCGGGGGGGTCACGCAGTGATCCTGGGAATCGGAGCAGGCAGGAGGGGGGAGGCAGGAGGAGGGAGG